GGAAGTAATTAGATGTCACGACTTTGTGCGCCGGCACGCGCAGCGCTAGGTTCCCGGTCGCGTGAGCGCTGAGCTGCAGCCTCCCCAGCGCAGGCTTTCGCGGGGAGAATTTCCGCGTGCGCCCGGTCGTGCGCGCCAGGCCGGCTCAGCGCGCATTGGGCCGCGGCTCATTGAAATTCATCAGGCCACGTTGGCTCCTCCCTCGGCGGTCTCCCCACCCAGGGCCCTCCCATAGCCGGAGAGCACCCCCCCGGGCACTCCCACTGCCGGTTGGAGTGGATTCAGATTCCCGGCGACCCTGCGGGACCAGGGAAACGGCCCCCACAGAGTTCCGCAGCCTGCAATTCTTCTCGGCCGTTGTCTTAACTTTGTTGTGAATTGGAATCAGGCGGGCAGAATTCGTCTTCGGTTCCCTTGAAGCATTTCTGCACGTTCTTTTCCGAAATCAGCCATTGCTGACGCCCTCCACGTACCCTCACCAGCCCACCTCCTCCCTGTGCGCCCTGTTTCCAACCTTACTTCTTTCTAAGCCTCTTCGAGTTTGTCCTTGGGTAAATGCTGCCCCCCACTCCCCATTGCAAACGGCTGGTGGTCCATTGGTTCGCGGAACATTGAGCCATGGCAGCAAGTTCAGTTCCAGACCCTCAGGGGGACGGAGCGGGCCAGGCTCTCGCTTAGCCCACGCGCAGGCATCTAGGCTGCGATCTTCGCGCCCGCCGGCGGCCTCATCTTTCTTGCGCAGAGCGGCGGCATCACGCAGGGCTCAGGAAACACCATGAGAAAGAACCGGGGATCAGGCCCAGCGCCACCCCTGCCAGGGCCCCTTTCGTTCCCGCCTGGATGATGGATTCTTTTCAGAACACCGGTGACCCATCGCAGGCTTGCGACGACTTTCACTGAGCGCCCAGATTTCTGTTCCAAACCCACCCTGAACCTGCCAGGACCCTGGCGGTATCCGTCGCTACTTTCTCGGTCCCCACCCCAGGGTCTCCCCTCCCCTGCCCAGGAAGGCTGTGCGCCCGGGTGTCCAAGCGCTCAGGGACCCCAAGGAGCCTGTGAGAGCTACAAACCCCAAAGCCAACGCCTGGCCATCGAGTCGTGGGGACCTTAGAAGACCGAGCCCACTTGGTAGGCCACGACCTGGCGCCAAGGCTTAGCACCACCCCCTCTCCCTTGGCAGCCGAGAGCTTAACCGCTGTGCCACCAGGGCTTCCTGAAAACCGCAAGAAGGATCCTAAAAGAACCTAGCAACCGCCTCGTGCGCCCAGGCCAGAATTGGGAAGTGTGTGTGTGTGTGTGTGTGTGTGTGTGTGTGTGTGTGTGTGTAAATACAGAGAGAACCCCAACCTAGCAGCTTGCAAGCGCACTGTGCCCCCAGAGTCGTCTGGCAAGGGCTCCAGAGGGCCGGCTCACCTCAGCGCCCGGCCGCCCAGAACCCCCGGGGCGCGCAGGCACCCGCCGAACCTGGGGTTGACGCTCCCCCTAGCGGCGCCCCGCCCCAGGCTCGCCCATTGTTCCCGAGGGTCGAGTGTGCGGCTCGGGGTGGG